ATACACTCTTCCAATCTCTTAACCATATATATTGGATATTGTAACTCATTCTTTTTCAAAAGTGCATAGTAATCCATTATGTACATATTATCATTTATTTAACCAGTTCCCTCTTGATAGCCACATAAAAAATTTCTAGTTTTTGCTGCAAAGCAATGCATTAATGAATATCAATCTAACAATCCTCATATTAGAAATAGGTATATTTTTGTGCAGTGTGCATAAGTTAACCTTAGAAGTGGAATCACTGAGGCAAAGAGTATGTATGCATGCGCTTTACTAGTTACAGCCAAATTGTCCTCCAAGCACTTGTACCAATTTATACTCTCAGTAGCAATGAATGACACTTCCTGTTTCCCCAGACCCTCTCTCACCAGTGCATTATCAATGTTTTTTTTTTTAAGGTTTTATTTATTTATTCATGAGAGGCACATGGAGAGAGACAGAGACATAGGCAGAAGGAGAAACAGGCTCCTTGCAGGGAACCAGATGTGGGATCATGCCCTGAGCCAAAGGCAGAGGCTCAACCACACAGCCACCCAGGCATCCCTGTTTTAATGCTTTTTTTTTTTTTTAAGATTTACTAGTGCATTATTTAAAACTTCTTTGTAGTTTCCAAGTTTATTGGTTAAAAATCTAATTTCAGTGTAGTTTTATGTACATTTCTTTGGTTCTAAGTGGGGTTGAACATCTTTTTCTATATTATAGAGCCATCTGTGAAATGTCTGCTCATGTTATCATTTTTTTTCCCCTTTGGAGATACTTTATTTTTCTAATCAATTTGTAAAAATCACTTATCTAAAAATTAGATCTTTGTCTATCATGTGTTGGAAAGCTTTTCCTACTGATTTATCATTTAATTTGCTTTATTTGGGGTGCCTGGGTGGCTCATCAATTAAGCGTCTGACTCTTGATTTCAGCTCAGGTCTTGATCTCAGGGTCCTCACATTGGGCTCCATGCCTAGCATGGCACCTACTTAAATAATAATAATTTGCTTTATTTGTTTATGATACCTTTTGGCAAACAGTTATCATTTTATGTAGTCAAATTTAATGTTTTCTTTTATGACCTTCTCTGAGATCATAAAAAAATTTCTTTTTTTTTCTAGTATATTATGGTTTCATTTGTTTTACATTTGCTCAAGTGACCTATTTGGAACTTATTTTGGAGTAAGATGAGTTAGGGGTTCAAATTTTCCACTTGGCTTGCTACCTGTTTCAACAAGTTGGAGTTCATCCTCAATACAAACCCACTTCAACATTTTCAAAATTGCAAAAACTCCTTTATCTGATCTAAACAGAAGATTAACTATCTCCCTAGCCACTAAGGCAAGACAATTGGTTTCAAGGCCATTGTGCAAGAAATTTAATTTGCAGGTAGAGAGTATATAGTGCAAGATAAAGCCTGACACTTGATAATTGTGCCTAATCCTATATTAGGAAGAAAGAAGGGAGGAATTCCTGGGGGCACCTGAAGTTAATCAAGGTAGCAAGTCAAAACCCAATTGTAAATCCCAGGCCTGAATGGAGTTCAAGAAACAGAGCCCAAATCAGGAGAATGGGGGAACCAGAAAAGCAGAAAAGTCCTGACCAAGCATGAGAAGTCAGAGAGCAGGGCAGCCCCGGTGGCACAGCGGTTTAGCGCCGCCTGCAGCCCAGTGTGTGATCCTGGAGACCCAGGATCGAGTCTCACGTCAGGCTCCCTACGTGGAGCCTGCTTCTCCCTCTGCCTGTGTCTCTGCCTCTCTCTGTCTCTCATGAATAAATAAATAAAATCTTAAAAAAAAAATTTACCTCTACTAAATCATACCCAAGTGCGACAGTTGATAAATTGGTATATTAATTCATTCCTTCTTCATCAAGCGTTTATCAGATAAGTGGCAGGCAATATGCCGAGCTCTGGGAGATAGAGGGATAAGGTACAGGTCCTGGCTCTCCAGGTGCTTGTCTAGCTGGGGTACAAGTAGGTGAGGTGCAGAGATGGTGCAGTGGTGAGGCACCCCGAGCGAGACAGGCATGCCCGGAGTTGTGTGAAAGGCCCAGGAAGGACACAGAGCCAAGAAGTTCTTCATACAGCCTGCTGGAACATGAGATGATCCACTGCTTTCCAGTCTAAAGTCTTTACTCTCTTTATATAGGTAAAGCTAAAGAATTATAATTTCCAAATTATAATTAATGCCACTCCTCTTCTCGTCTGTGTGGTAACTTTCTGCCAGGGATCTGAGGAGACCTAGTGCCACTTGATCTTCATAGAGATTCTTACTCTGAGGTCGGGTTTCAAAGGGTCCGTTAGCCCCTTAAAATTGGATGCAAATTGTGTGCGCATGCTTTTTATTTCTGGGGAATAGGGTCATAGATTCCCCAAGAATCTCAAAGGAGTATGTGACCCCAGAAAGCTAAAGAACCAGTGACTAGATTTTCTTCAACCTAATTAAAGATCTTTTATCTTAAAGACATCTTTTAAAACATCTTCACCAGGGGCACCAGGGTGGCTCAGTTGGTTAAGCATCTGCCTTCTGCTCAGGTCATGATCCCAGGGTGCAGGGATCAAGCCCCGAGCCCCATGTTAGGCTACCTGCTTGGCAGAGAGCCTTCTTTTCCCTCTCCCTCATACCTGTCCCCCTGCTCGTGTTAGCACCTGCTCTCTCTGTTGAATAAATAAATACAGTCTTTAAAAAAATAATAAAACATCCTAATCAGACTATAACCTAGAGATGTGTGTGGTTACTAATGCCTGGCCCCTTTTACGCCTTTATCCCTGATCTTCCAGCTTCCTCACTGTCCAAAAAGAGGAACAGAGCTGGGCGGCAGTTTACTTTCCTGTCTTTATCTTTATTTGGCAACCCCACACATAGCATAATAATAGAAACATCTCTGTACTTAATTGTAATAATGTGATATCATCAAACAGAATCAGAATTCACATTTCTGGGGCACCCGGGTGGCTCAGTGGTTGAGCATCTGCCTTTGGCTCAGGTCATGATCCAGAGCCGGGGACTGAGTCCTGCGTGGGGTTCCTCGCATGGAGCCTGCTTCTCCCTCTGCCTATGTCTCCGCCTTTCTCTCTCTCTCTCTCTCTCACTCTCTGCCTCTCTCTCTCTCTCTCTCTCTCTCTCTCTCTCTCTGTCTCATGAATAAATAAATAAAATCTTAAAAAAAAAAAAAGAATTCACATTTCCAAAGCAATCTCTCATGTTCACACAGGTTTTGGTTCAGAATGCTCAAGTCCAAAAATCAAATTCAACACTCTTTAGGTAGGACATTGTGTTCTGTGCTGAGGGAGTGAGGAAGGGAACGAGACATACAGATGAATTAAACCCAGTGCCCACTTTCACGGAGATGGAAAATGCACAACATGCTGTGGGAATTGAGAAAGTGATTATTTCTTACTGGACGGTGCAGGAGGAAAAGTCCTGAAGATGTTTATGCTGGACAGTATTGCTTTACTGAGGAGGCCACAAACTTAGCCCTCCAGCAACATTACCCTTGGCTTCTGCACCTTCAGAATGAGCTGACCGGCCTGGAGGCAAATACCCGATCAGAAATACACAGAAAATAAGCCTGGGAGAAAAATTAGCCTTTGTCATGGAATGGCACATAAAGAGTGGGAACAGCCATTATCAGAAAAATTGTGCAAGAACATACAGTGTAACAGGAAATAGAATACATTGTTATTTGAATCAATGTAAGGATTTTGGAAAACTGATATTAATAGGAAATCTTTATCATCATTAGTACTATATTATTATTTTAAAAGTCTGGCTTTAAAGCAATTAAAGGCAATATATATATTTTCCTTAATGTCAAGAAACAGAAAAATAGGGATCCCTGGGTGGCGCAGTGGTTTAGCGCCTGGCTTTGGCCCAGGACGCGATCCTGGAGACCTGGGATCGAATCCCACGTCAGGCTCCCGGTGCATGGAGCCTGCTTCTCCCTCTGCCTGTGTCTCTGCCTCTCTCTCTCTCTGTGTGTGTGACTATCATAAATAAATAAAAATTAAAAAAAAAAAGAAAGAAACAAAAATAGTATGGCTAAAAATATTTACAGGCTGTGAGGGCTTTTCTAAAATGTAGACCGAGGAGCGAGTGTATGTTCATTTTCTTCTTACTAAATCATATACAATCAAGCATTTACCACTGATAGTCACAACTGAAATTTGTGTGGTGCTTTTTCTTAGATCAGTGCTTACAAGGCAGTTTCATGTTCGTTATAAATCCTGTGCGGTACATTAGCATAGGCTAATAAATTTTCTTATTCTCTCTTCCTAGGATGAATCAGCCCCTGCCAAATTTTTGAGACAGCTCACGGCTTAGAGGAAGGCTCATCTAAATAAAGGCCGGCTAAAGTGACATTGCAGGGACTTAATCCTTCTCGGGCAGCCCTTGTGACCAGAAGGCTGATTTGCAAGTTTCTTCTTTTCCTGGGGTCCAGATCATTGGGTCCCGTCCCTGGGGCCCTGTGACTCGCCAGCAGAAGCGCAAAATGCAGGAGGTCAGAGCAGAACGCCAGCGCCAGCGGCAGGGCCCCGGGGGCCTCCGAGGGGCTCTTAGGCACCAGTGTGAAAGATCCTCCAGCCATCAAAGGAAATAGCAAACTGGAGCCTTTGTCCTGGGACGCAGCCGCCCACCACAGAGCATCAGACCGCATGGGTGGCCAGAAGGCTCCTGGAGGCCGATCAGGGAAGTGGTTACCGTCACTGGCTGTGTGCGTGCCTGGACCGTGAGAGCTGGGAAGTGCACCGTGAAGGCAAGTGTGAAATGTCCGGAGTGATGGGGGCAGCTCTTGGCTTGGCTGCGCAGGCCCTGCCGGCCTGTTGGCCTCTGCCCTCCTCCTGCTGAAGCCACCAGGGGGGCCCCCTGGCTCCGCGGGCCAGCTGTCCCGGTCCCGGGGCTCCCGCGGGCCCCAACTCCCGTCTCCCACCCCTGGGCCCTTTGCACTGCCCCGCACCCTGCCTGCCTTCCCATCGGTGCCTCTGGCCGGCCGGACATGTGAGCCAGTGTGGACGATGACTGCAGTGTACGCGAATGGAGGCGGCCTGGTGACCCCCCACTATGCCAGGTGGGACCGGCGGGAGAGCGTGGAGAGCGGCGGTCAGACGGAGTGCAGCAAGGAGGACGGCGAGGGGCAGCCCCGCCAGCTGACGCCCTTCGAGAAGCTGACGCAGGACATGTCCCAAGACGAGAAGGTGGTGAGAGAGATCACGCTGGGGAAACGGATTGGCTTCTACCGAATCCGAGGAGAAATTGGAAGTGGGAACTTCTCCCAGGTCAAGCTGGGGATTCACTCCCTGACCAAAGGTAGGCGCTGAGCTTCCAGGATCCCCTCCCCTGGCACTGGGACAAGGGGAAAGGGTTAGGAGGCCGGGGCCAGGGCAGTGGGTGAAGGAGGCCCCATGGGACGCCAGCGCTGTGCCACCCCCGTTCCATCGCGACCTCGGTTAGTGTTTGCGGGAACCGTGTGAGGTCAGTATTTTTACTTCCATTACCAGAGAGGGAACCTGAGATCCAAAGAAATTAAATATGGTTCCAGCAGTTCAGTCTCGAAAGATTTTCACTCTAAACGTTCTCTCCCGCTTACTGTGTGGATGAATTCACTCAACGTTGAAGGGGCCCTGTCCTCTCCAGTTAGGCCTTGGAGAAGTGGAGTGGAGTGTGGCTTGGTTCGAGGCAACTCATCTTCCAAGTCCTTATTTGTAACTTCTGTGTATGTGCATCTGTGTCTGTGTGTCTGTGTGTCTGTGTGTCTGTGTGTGTGCGTGTGCATGTGCATGTGTCAGTACTGATACACAGGAGACCTCCCAGGTCACTATTATCAGGGGATATAGCAGAGTTCAGGCTCCCCTCCTCATCCAAGGCTGCTCCTCCTGCTATATTTGGGGAAATGGCTCTTGATCTCAGGACTTCTCTGCTCCAGTCTACTCCGTACTACTACTTCTCACGGTTGCTTGACTCTTTGCTCTCTACCGGAGACCACACTGGCTTGGCTCCGGACGCTCTGGACCCCAGACCAGCAAAGCCCACCGCTCTGGCCTCAGGGAGGACCGATGCAGAGAGCCCAGCTGCCCTTTGCTGGCCCAGCCCAGTGAGGGCACTTCCCTGTGCCACCTGTAACTTAGCTGAAGCCTGGAGATTGTAAGAAGGGAGGCGTAAGGCAGGAAAAGACCACTTCCAACTTGGTATCATTTACCAACTTCCTAAGGCCCACAGACTCCTCCCTGTCCTGGCGAGTATATTTCTCACCTGTACTGACATTTCTTACCTGCTACCATATCTCAGTGCTGCTCTTTTCTTATATTAGAGTTGCCTTTTGTTTTCTTTTCTTCTCTAACCCTCAGGCCCAACCCAATATCTGGCCCCTACATAAAAAGCACCCACATATACATACACAGAGGCACTCATACTCCCAAGTCACTGGAGCCCCAAGTCTCCATCCATCTTACTCGGAGACCAAGTGTCCAGGTGGGTCCACATACTCACATCTCAGCCACTCACTGTACTTAGCCCACTACATGCCAGTACTTCTGCGAGCCTCCGCACCCCCACTCACACAATGCGGCCAGTGACAAGTGCTGACTTTACCCACAAAAGTAGATCGAGTGCTGTGACCTGAATCTAATTGGGACACGTGTTGCCTTTTGGTGGTGCCAGAGCAAGAATGAAAGACAAAGGTGTAAGACACAGGGAGAGGAAGGATCAGAAACTGAGATAGAAGACATGATTAGGGAGAAAGAGGACAAGGTGGGGAAAGACAAACCCAAGAGAGGTGCTCAGAAACGAGAGCATGTCCAGCGCAGCAGAGAGCACACGAGGCCAGAGTCCAACCAAAAGGCCAATGTTGAGCTGTTTCCTGAGTGTGGGTTCAGGTGTTAGATTCCAGGGGTGAGGAGGCAGCGTGCGTGGGGCAGTGGAGAGAACAGGCACTTTGGGATCGGGCACATTTGCTTCAGGTCCTGGATCAGTGGCACTTCTTTGGTCCCTAGTTGCCTCAGCCATAAAATAGAGATGATTCTTCTCTTAGAATTGTTGGAAAATCAGGGATCCCTGGGTGGTGCAGCGGTTTGGCGCCTGCCTTTGGCCCAGGGCGCGATCCTGGAGACCCGGGATCGGGTCCCACATCGGGCTCCCGGTGCATGGAGCCTGCTTCTCCCTCTGCCTGTGTCTCTGACTCTCTCTCTCTCTCTCTCAATCTGTGACTATCATAAATAAATAAAAAGTAAAAAAAAAAAAAAGAATTGTTGGAAAATCAGAATTAACATACACAAAGTACATGGCACACAGTAGCCATCATTGGTACAACTTGTTTTGTTTTTTACTTAAATAAATTTACTTGAAAAGGAAATGTAGGGCACCTGGGTGGCTCAGTCGGTTAAGCATCTGCCTTCAACTCAGGTCATGATCCCAGGGTGCTTGGATTGAGCCCCATGTGGGGCCCCCTGCCTGGCAGGGAGCCTGCTTCTCCTTCTCCCTCGCTTGTGCTCTCTCACTCTCTCTCAAATAAATAAATTATATCTTTTTTTTTTTTAAAGAATAGTCTTTAGAAAAAAAAGGAAATGTATTATTTAAATAATGAAAACTAGTGTCACTTGCTATGAATAGAAGGTAATGGTAAAAACATAATGGAAACTTAATTTTTAATTATTTTTTATATAAATTTTTATATAAATTGTTGTGCGTATGGTGAGAACTTTTCAAATTTACTCACTTAGCAACTTTCAAAAAGTTCTCAAGGAAAATTGCCAAGTAATAGAGAGTAAAACACTCCAACAACCAGTCTGAGACTTTCTCTTTGCCTTACTTGGGAGAATTAAAGAATAACTCAAACGGGAATGATTATTCCTAGGCTGTGATTCAGTGCTATTTAAGGCAGTTTCTCTGCAGGAAAATCAGTCGGCGCCCCATGAATGGTGCAGGCTCCACTTTGGGAAACACCGACTTCATCCAGCCCTCCCAATTTCGGGAGGCATCACGGCTTCATGGGGCAGCCCGCGGTCTCGGGCCTTCTCCGGCCTTCTCCGGCCCACTGGCTCGGTGAGAGCTGTTCTCTAAGTAGCAGACGGTCATGCGATAAATACTGTGGGAAGACACTAGCTCTGGAATCCGTGAGACCTGGGGGGAATTCCTAGTCTTTCCAACTCTAGCTGTGTGACCCTGAACAAGTTACTTTATCATTCTGTGCCTCAATTTCTTCATGAATAAAATTTAAAAAGATATCAAATGTCTACCGTGTGCCTAGACAGAGCACACAGTAAGTATTCATTCAATGCTCCTCTAGCCTGATGTCAAAGAAGTCTGGGTTCTTTGGGCCTCCTGAGTCACACAGCATTGGGTTCACTGAACAGAAGCTTACTCAAATGAGCTCACGCGGAAAGGGGTGAATCATGGGCAGGGGAGCCCTGGGCACCCACAGCAGGGAAGCAAGTGAGTTTCGAGATATGACCCTCTCCATCTCCTCTTTTTATCTGGGGCCTCACGGTTTCTCATTTCTACTTCGCTTGATGAAAGTGTTCCCTCTTCATACTTCTTTCCGCAGAGTGGCTTCCTCTGCAAAGTTATCAGAGGACTCACAGCGAAGAATGGTGGTTGCCAGTCCCCCATCTCTATGGTCTCCCAGCATTGTTACCCCTCTCTGTCCCCAGTGTCATTCTGCACCAGCTCACATTTTAAAGAGAGAGAATGTGATTGCTCCCTAGCCAACCGAGGACAGGCCACCGCGGAGCTCAAGGGCACCCCCAAGCCAAGTCAGCTGCGGCCTCTAGGGTCTCGCATCCCACAAACTTGTCAGCAGAGCCTGAGGTCCTAACTAGTGTCTCTGAGAGGGGAGGATAGAGAACACAGCAAATCGACGGACACATCTGCCCTCGAGATAATAACCAGCAGAGTAGAGAAATCAGCTCAAGCCAGAAGCAAGAAAGTGAGTCTGGAGTCAGGCTGTGCAGTGAGGAGGGAGGAGAAAGACGACTCACCCATGACTTTGATTCATGTGATTTCCTTCTCGAATGTCACAGGCTTCTCATCTCCCGTATGGCAAAATTAACTGATTCCAGTTCCCTGAGTTCCAGAGAACATGCTATTTGTCTGCTGTGCCAGTTGGGTGCCTCAGTGGCCTCAGTAACATGCTCTCCTCACTGCCAACCTGCTGCAGTGTAGCCCTGCTGTCAAAGGTTCGGTGTCACCCTCTGGCTGTGGGACATATGTACACAAGAGGGAGGAAGGCCCAAAGCACAGGCAGTGGGAAAGTCAGTTCAACCAGCAAGGTTAAGCAACAGAAAATGTTAATGGCAGGTCACTGAGCAACCTAAAAGTGAATCCTAGACCTCACTTGTAGGCCCATCCCATAGTGGCCCGATCCTAGAGCCTCACCCCACCTCTCTTCTGTGGTTCTGCCCTCAGTGAGCCCCCTAGTTAGGAGGGAGCAGGAAGGTGACAATGAAGGCAGCTGAAAAAAGGGGTGGAATGGGGGAGCAGGGAGCCTAGATGCCAACAGGTGTGAGGGCTCAGGAAAGAAAAGGGTGGCTCGGGTACGAAGAAGTAGAATCTCTTGGGGACTAGAGGACTTGGCCACCCTAAGCTAAATGGAATGGAAAGTTAGATGCCACATACTCTTTACCTCTGAAAGAGGAGATTCATCAGTGGGTGGCTTAGAAAGCCACGCTGGGCATTCCAAACAGTTGTCCCACTGTCCGGCCATATCAGATTGTGTAACATGGATGGCAATTGTATAAATGTGGTTCCTGTACAAAAGCCAAATGGCCCAGAATTGTCATCAGGTTTTCTAGGAAATGTGGACTATCTAGATGAGACAATGGAGGGATTCCCAGGAAAGCAGAGGATTTTGGTGCCAGGAGCAGCAATTAGGACGTAGTTTTAAAAGGGCACCAGCTGTTATGGATGCATCTCTAGAAAGAAGACTCCAGGAGAGGCCCCTGTTGGCTAGAGTTTATTTTTATAGCTAACAGCTCAGATTCCCCTGGGCCTTGCAAGCTGATAGGACAGCTATGAGTCCCTTTTAAACTGATTAGAAATTTCACAAAAGACATGATGCATTCAGCTTCTGAATATTTTATGTTCCAGCTGCTTTCACAAACAAAAGTAAATGTGGCCACGAGGTGCCCGTTCCTTCCTCTGTTGCTGCCCTCCCTGACCTGTTCTTCCCTGGTCTTCCTGTCACCCTAGTCTCACATTTCTAGAGCCTTTCTTTTTTCCCAATTTATTTATGCATCAGTTCATCATGTCCCCCCGCCCACCCCACACACCTTCCTTTTTTAAAAAATATAATTACCTCTCCTGTGCCCACATTT